AATCTTGTGGGTGAAGAAGACTTGTGTGTGTTCTGTGTACGGATAGCTTTATTGTGGGCTGTTTATTATAAATACACATCCAGCATCGCAGCAGCACACACACACACAACACCACAACCACCACATCACTAGGACACGATCACACACACACACACACACACCACCACACCACACTACACACACACACACACACAGCATCTCTACAGTACGCACACATATAGAGGGAGACAAAAGGATATACAGAATAGAAAGATAGCATAAAAAAATCGCAATAGACAGACAGAGATAGTATATAGATCAGCAGACAGAAACTATGAGACAGTCTAAACAGATCTTTAGACAGAAAGATATTAAATAAATAAATAAGTCATCAAATATTATGTTATGAAATAGAGTCAACAGACAAAAGGATGACATAGACAAACAGATAAATTAGACAGAACGATCAGAAAAATATAAACTGTAGATGAGCCTTGCACTATTAGACAACCTTCAAGAAAGATCACTTCTAAAAACAACTTAAACATTCGACCCCTGAGACAATGGAACAAACTAAATAAAGAAATAAGTTTGTACTGTCAGAGAAAAAATTTGAGGAAGAAGAAGTCAGTAATAATAATAATAATAATAAGTCAATTAATAATAAAGTATAATTAGAAGAGAAAGCAGAGAAGAGCCAAGGAAGATAAGAAGAAAACGCAAAGAGCAGAAGAAAAAAAAAATTGAAAAAAAACAAACTAAATTCGCCGAGGCGCTGGTTCCACAAAACAACCTACAAGAGATTAAACATTCAATCAAATGCAACACAGCTTGGAAATAGAGAAACACCGGACACAAGAAATCGCAACCACCTAAAAGATGTGCTAGCTTATTTAGCGATTTTCTTTAAAAAGCAAGCTTCTACAATAACATCTAATTCTATGGCGAATTTGAACACTTAATTGGCTCTCTATATCTCTCGGTACTGTTTGTGGTATCCCGGGCACCTTGCTACCGTCCCAAAGGGGCAAAAGGAGACGAATTAATCGCGCCTGGTACACACGCACGCGGAATCGTATATATCATTACACACATACACACTCGTCTCTCATTCTTCTCTTAATCTTCTATTTATCTATTCTGCTCGCCATTCTCTTGCTTAGGAACACTTCCTCTCTCTCTTTTCGTCTATTTTTTTATTTCTATCTCTCCCGTTCTCTATTCTCAGAACACTAGTCACTTGCACATTACGTTCTTCCCTCTCCCCTCTCTCTCTAAATCTTGTCTTATTATCTATCTAGATCGGTTCGTATTCTATTCTATCTACCCATTCTCTTTCTCAGAAACTAGCTACCTCTCGTTCACTCTCTCTCTCTCTCTCTCTTCTCTCTCTCCCTCTTCTCTACTCTCTCGCCGCTCATCCCTCTCTCCCTCGCTATTTAATGCTATCATACCCCCATTGTCCCCGCTCTCTCAGAAACAAACAGACGTATTCTCACCGCTTTACCTCACCCATCGAAATCACTCACGCGAAGAAGCGAAAAAAGCCTCATCATTTATTGCCACGCACGCGCACAGATCCTTACCACTGGCGAGACAAGAACAGTTATTTACAAAAAAATAGGTTATTTTACACAACCAGCTCACACCCGGCTGGCTACGTTCGTTGTTTACAATGAGCGGAAGTCGGGAGAGGGAGGAAGGGTCCGAAGAGAGAGGAATGGGGAGGTAGGGAAGTTGAGAGGGAGAAAGGGGGGTGTATAAGTGAGGAGAGGGGAGGGCGAAGTCGATGAGAGAGAGGACGAGGAGAGGATGAGAAGGAGAGGAGATGGAGACGCAAGAGAGAGAGGAGAGAGAGAGATGAGAGAGAGAGATGAGAGAGAGACGAGATGAGAGAGAGAGAGAGAAGAGAGAGAGAAGAGAGACTGAGAGAGGCAAAGAGAGAGAGAGAGAGAGAAGAGGCGAGAGAGAAGGAGAGCAGAGTGAGAGAGAGAGAAGAGAGGAAAGAGAGAGATAGAGAGAGGAGAGAGAGAGAGAGAGAGGAGAGGAGAGAGAGAGAGAGAGAGAGAGAGGAGAAGAGAGAGAGAGAGAGAGAGAGAGAGAGAGAGAGAGAGAGAGAGAGAGAGAGAGAGGAGGAGAAGAGAGAGATGAGAGATCAAGAGAGAGAGAGAGAGAGAGAGGAGATAAAATTTTCTAACAGAGTTGTAACAACACTCGCACCCCCCTTAAAAAAAAAAAAAAAAAAAAAAAAAAAAAAAAAAAAAAAACTCCGAAAGTAGATTTCCCGCCAGGCTGCTGCCACCGCCACCTCCTTCGCCAAAAACGAGGTGAAAAAACGGGCGATTTCGCGCGAATTCCCCCCGTCCCTAATGGATTTTCCCCGCTTCCATCTCGAGAGAAAGAGGGGACTCGCGGAAAGACATGATGCAACACCAAAAGACAAAAGACAGGCTGACAAAGGGATGACTCGGCTCGTCTTGGGAGTCCGAGGGAAATCAGTGGATCTTTGGCACTTTCTTCGCCAAAGAGGTGCTGAAGAAACCGAATTACATTCTTACAAAACTGATCTCTTCCCGTCATGGAAGTGAATGTTTGGAGGGGAGGAGGTGACGGGATGGGGAGGAAGAGGGAGGGAGAGATAGGAGAGAGGAGAGAGAGAGAGAAGGAGAGAAGAGAGAAGAGAGGAGAGAAGAGAGAAGAGAGAGAGGAGAGAGAGAGGAGAGAGAGAAGAGAGAGAGAGAGAGAGAGAGAGAGAAGAGAGAGAGAGAGAGAGAGAGAGAGAGAGAGAGAGAGAGAGAGAGGGAGAGGAAGAGATTTAAGAACCATTACAACAACTCAATTTAAAACAAATCACAAAATGCAACACACCTAATAAGAAGCACACACGCAAAATAGACACAAAAAAACAGCATCAGCAGACCTGAGATAAAAGTGTTGCCAAAAGAGGAAAGATTACAAACTTCACCCTTAAATCTTACATTCCTTAAGAGGCAGACAGGTCTTTCCGATCTTAAGGAAGAAATAAATGGCTGAGAAACAATAACCGGTGAAAAAAATTCTACAAGCACTGGTGGTCGTTATAGCGAGGTAAATGCTGATCGCGTTGCACAGACTCTCCTGCTTGCAACTCTGAGACGGCGAGAAATAAGAAATAAAAAAGAGAATTGGCGAATAGCAGATATAACTTTCGTGTATTGACGTAATTTTCCTTTTGTCCAATCCTCGTCCCATATAAAAACAAAATAATACAAGAGAGAGAGAGAGAGAGAGAGAGAGAGAGAGAGAGAGAGAGAGAGAGAGAGAGAGAGAGAGAGAGAGAGAGAGAGAGAGAGAGAGAGAGAGAGAGAGAGAGAGAGAGAAATCCCTAAAACCAATATCCCGCCTACATCTTCAATCCAGCACATACCTTTCCATCTCAGGATCTCTGACGAAGAAGACCCGAAAGCAAAAATAAATAACAATAAGTAACACGAACAAAAAAGCTCGAGGGAGACACACACACACACACGCAACTCAGCCTCAGTGAAGGTCGCCCGGCATTCCAAGCCCTCTGCCCCGTCCACCCGCTGACCTTGCTCGTGACCTGGCTCCAAAATACGACGCGCCAAGGTCAGCACTCTGAGATACAACTCAAAAGAAGAACAACAGGACATATTCGCACATGCAGACACGCAGGTACGTATGGAAAGAGGGAGAGAAGGAGAGGGAAGGAGACGAAGGACGAAGGAGAGGAGGAGAGAGAGAGAAAGAGAGAGAGAGAGAGAGAGAGAGAGAGAGAGAGAGAGAGAGAGAGAGAGAGAGAGAGAGAGAGAGAGAGAGAGAGAGAGAGGGAGAGAGGGAGGAGAGGAGGGAGGGAGGAGGGAGAGAGAGAGAGAGAGAGAGAGAGAGTGAGAGTAGAGAGAGTGAGAGAGAGAGAGAGAGAGAGAGAGAGAGAGAGAGAGAGAGAGAGGAGAGAGAGAGAGAGAGGAGAGAGATGAGAGAGAGAGAGAGAGAGAGGGAGACATGCAAATAAACCCTTTTTCCACGAATATAACCAACCAACAATACCACCGACCACAGACCCCAAGACCTAAAAAAAAGAATCCATAAACCCAACAGGAAACGGAATATGTAAAATTAACCCCCACGTGAATCTCATCTCCCAAACACTCCTTCACCGCCCACGCCTCACTCGCTGGCCCAGGCTCTCTTAGGTCATGACATCCACCAGGCATTCCGGGCGGGCACTGAACCCCCTGACCTTATGCGTCCCTGCTGATGCACGACCTCCGATGACCTCCGCTGACCTATTGACTGACGGTAGGACACTCTATCGTAATAAACAATCAGCTGGCGAGGTACAGGGGCTCATTAAGAAGGAATGATTTGCAGCAATGACACTGTTAATTGCTCGCCTTGACTGCTGTGTTGTAAATTATTTATGTAGATGTGCGGTGGAAGGTCTTCTGTGCTGGCTGGGCTTCGTAATTCATGCGGCGTATCTGTATATGTATGCGTGTACTTATGCATGCACATACACATGTCTATATAATATATATATATATATATATATATATATATATATATATATTATATATATATATATATATATATTATATTTATACACACACAATTCTACATATATATGTATGTTTGTATGTACATAAATATACAAAAATATATAAATATACACACACCACAATATATACATATATATATATATATATATATATATATATATATATATATATATAATATATATATATATATACAATGAAAAAACACAATATATATAATATGGAAGAAAAACCCACAATGTACAAACTAGATTTATGATGAAAGTGAGACAACAGTTTCGGAATCGTCCTCGATTCCCGAAGATGGAATCGAGGACGATTAAACTGTTGTCTTACTTTCATCAATAAATCTAGTTTGTACATCTTCCATATATATAATATATATATATATATATATATATATATATATAGAGAGAGAGAGAGAGAGAGAGAGAGAGAAAAGAAAAACTAAAATCACATACTCACCCGTCAAATCACAAACACGATCTGCTCCCACAACACTTTGTTATTTCTCTCTCTACACTAAACACTTTGCAACCCTTATCCTCCGAAGTCTTTCCGTTGCAAATGTTGCAATCACCATCTCTCTCCACTTTCCACCACACACCACAGCCGAAAGTAAAGTCCTGGGGGAGGGGGGGGGCACCACAGGACCCGACCGCCAGGACCTTCGCTGAGATAATCACACTTCACGCTTCTATGTTGGCGATCAAGTCGAGTCCGTGAGCTTGGCAAGACCACCGCCCTTCCTTACACCTCAAATTCGGGAGAAAATTGCAGAGTTCTTTGAGTCCGATAAATCACGAAGCTGTTGAACAGAATTGGTATTATCATTACTTTTTTTTTCTTCGTCAGTTATAACCGTGATAAAAATGTGTTTTCGATTTTGGGATCATTTGGGTGAGATAAGCATTTTTTTTTTTGTCATTTTTCCCTTGAAGGTTTATCAATTACTTTCTCTTATTACTGTAATTTCAGCAAACTAAATGTTTCCATAATCTAAATCTACGAAAAAACTGCTAAACAGCGCATACCATTTCGTCATTTAACTATGCATTAACAATAATTTAGACATTGGTTGTACATTATAAGAAATTCGTATAACATAAGGAAAATAACTGCATTTGGAAGTAAACGGAAAAAACGTGATTGCTCCAGTAAGGCAGTGAATCACAGCAATCACAGTCATAATCATAAATCATAGTATGTTATTGTCCAAAAAAAAAAAAATCGACGCTTTTCTACAACAAAACAAATCTCGTTTCCAGAAAACAAAAATCCTTTATCGTAGAGACCCTCGATCCACGCGCGCGCACTGTAAGCCCCGATCCTTTAAATACCACAAATCCACTGCATAAATCCACCACGTCAACCACCCGACTGACCGCTCTCCGTCTCCTCTCCCGCGAAACAGCTGCTCACACGCCCGCCAACCCGCCCTCTCTCCTTTCCTCTCGCGCGCTGACTGACCGCCGCCGACCCTCTGCGGTGGCGACAGCGGCGTGTACACCCATGTGCGCACGTGGAGGTGAGTGTATGTGTGTGTGCGTGTGACCTTCGCAGGGTGACACACGCCCTCTCGGTCCCGGCCTGATGCACTGCTCTCATGGCTCCCCACAGGCTGGCGAGGGAGCGTGCTTGCCCTTACGCAAAGCCCATTACGTGTACATAATGCACGCGCACATGTTCCCCATAGACCTTTTACACACACACACACACACACACACACACACACACACACACACAACACACACACACACACACACACACACACACACACACCACACACACACACACACACCCCCCACACACGCCACCCCCCATAACACACACACACGCACTACGCACTACACCCCCCCTAACACACCCACACACCACACCACAAACTACGCACTAACCCCCCACACACACACACATTTCATAAAAGGACAAACAGACCATACTCGTTTTTCTCGACGTAGTATCGTACAATCAGACTTACACAACACCGAAAGAGAGAGCGAAAAAAAACGGACCTATGGAAATCACTTAACAACAATCCCACTTGCGATTCGGCATAATCAAAATATGTGATGGAACTGATTAAATGCAAATTACCATAACAATCCCTTCGCGAAAGAAAGCCTAAGGTCAAAGCGGACAAAAGCCGACCTTTTAGTCCGCGACACACGCGCCCTCATTCGACCTCGATTACCTACGTCGGTTCATAAAAGATTACCCTCGCCAGGTGGGTCTGCTCTCCCTTCGCCTTTGTCAGGACGAAGGGTGAAGGTTGGGGCTCACCTGGCTCACCTGTCCCGTAGGTGGCATCCGGGAGGGGCAGGTGCCAGGAGAGGGCCGGTTAAATGGACCTCCGCGAGTGGGGAATATGGGAGAGGATTTGTCAAAGAAAATAATGAAAATAGTAAGAATGATAGATACATGGTTAAGAAAGAGAGAAGATAAACAGATAGACGGATAGACATCAAGACCAATCAATCTATCAGCTGCTGTACCATCATCAAAGTAGCTACAAATTTGATTATTATAGTGTTGTAAGAAATTGAAATATGAACGTTAGGAAAGTCCGACGCCAAACTTCTCAATAAAACATATGGTCACTACCAACTTTCTCATCAATATTACACCATCGTTTCCTTTCGAGGTGGAAACCAACGACAAATCAAACACCAAAAACATCACACATAAAAGAAGAAACAAACCGCAATTGAATAAATAACGTCATTCGGTTGTTATCGCAGATTCAACGGCGCCATTCGCTCGTTCTCGCAGACTCCAGATGTTTGACAAACGACGCAACCAAACCACGCCGCCCTTTCGCTCCTGTCATTAAGAGCTGGCAGCGTTAAGTCGGTCTTCACATCCGACACGAGAGGCAGCCGACCACACGCCAGTCCCGACGCCGACCGACCTTGTGGGAGACGAGGCGGTCGGATGCAGCAGCGCCTCTTGCCACGCGCCGCTTCTGCCGTTTCGGATGTTTTTCTTCTTTTCCTTCCTTCCTCTCTTCTTTCTTTTTTTTTTTGCTTTCTTCTTCTTCTTCTTTTCATATTTACCTTCCTCTCTCTTTCTTTATCTTTTCCGTCCTTCCTCTCTTCCTTTCTTTTTTTTTCCTTCCTTTATTTCTTATTTTCTCCTTCCCTCGTTTTGTAGGTTGTTAAGATCTGTTCCCGGTCACGTGTTCCTTGTCACAGACTCGGATTTAATTTCTTGGTGACTGAATTATTGTTTGTGGTGAGAGTTGGTGGCTGAAATGTTGTTTATTGCGGTTGAAACGCTGCTTGCCTTGTTTGCTTCTGGCTTTATTGCTTATTTTTTTGGCTAGTTTCTGACGTTTTTTCCCACGTACTTTAGTTTTCATATTTTTCCCAATATTCTCCCTTCATTCCTACTATTATTTACCTGTCATAGTGACTCTCTTGCTATCTATTTGTCCATCTCTTATTCTTTCTTCTTCACTACAATCATCATCATCTGTGTCCTTCAACTTCAAAACACTCGCGCATCTCTTTTTTTTTTTCTTTTCTTTTTTTAATCTTCCTGGCGATCATCCAGACTTCAAATCCATAGACGTTATGAGTCAGAAACCCGTCTAACTTGCTCCTTATCGCCGCCTGTGCTTGAGAGAGAGAGATGAGACGCGAGATACGAAACTCGTCCCTATGACGTCTGGCAGGTAAAGCTCACCTGTCCCCACTGATGGTCGTCTTCTATTACTTCGTTCTTATAGGTTTATATATTTTTTTTTTTACATTCTTTTTTTTATCTATTTATTATCATTTTCTTTTTGTCAAAGGTTTCGAAAGAGTTTGATATCATTTGTATTTCTTGAAAGGTCGGGGTGAACCTGCTTTACCCACGGTCAGCACTGGTTTTCAGAAGTCGTTGGCTGTTTTGGGTAATAATATCATAACAAATCGAGCTGTTGCTGATTCCTACTGCCTCGCGTGTTATGATTGCTCCTGGTATTAGATTTTACGTGATGCAATGGCGCGTTCGGCCAAGGTTTAAATGTCAAATGTCGGACTGCCAAATCAATCCGTGTTTTTGAGTCGGTGGATTTTTACGTATCGTTTGGTGGCACTTTTATGAAGCTCGTTTTTGTGAACTTCTACTTGCCTAACACAACGAACTGTTCGGCCCATTACGTAACTTCCCTTAGTCCAAATCCCTTTTAATAGTGATGCAATCGTACCTTTCTTTTCCTAGTATATCTCCCCCCTTTCCCTTATCCACTTTTCCTACCTCGTTCTATTTCTATTAACCCTCATCTTCAACCCTCTGTTCTTTACTTCTTTCGTTCTCCATTTTTTTCCTTTATTCCTTCTATACTCTCTTTCTATTAGCCCTCCCCACTCCCCCCCCCTTCTCCCCTTCCCTCACCTGACATCCCACCGCCTCTCTCTTCTTCTTCCTCTTCCTCCTCCCTCTTCTTCTTCTTCCTCCTACCTCCTTCCCCTTCTTTTCTCTCTCCACCTCTATCACACTTAATGGACTTGCGATACTAACACCTATTGCCCAATTTTTTCCCACGCTATGGTCACAGATCGCAGAAATAAGGGAGGTAGGGATGTTGGAAGAGGAAGAGGGAGTAGGAGGAAGGGGAGAGGAGGAATAGGAGGCAGAGGATGATAATGATGAGGATGAGGAAGAAGAGGAAGCGAAAGAGGAAGGGGGAAGGTAGAGCAGAAGGAGAAGTAGAAGGAAGAGTAGGAGACCAGAAAAAGAGGAAGAGAATAACAACGATAATAACATGCTGATAATGAGCCGAAAAGAAGGGGGAGGGGGAAGGGAGGAGAGAGGAATATCATATTGAATCATAATGGAGGTTATTACGCAAAGATGGTGTGTCGGACGCTTGCCATAATGACCGCCAGCCACGCGAACAGGTAAGTACGCTGGACCGTGGGAATCCAGGGTGACGTAGGAGGACGGGTGCAATACAATAACAAGAATAGTGTCAATAATGATAATGGCTATGGTGAAAAATGACGAGAATGATAAGGAAGTGGTGGTGGTGGTGGATAGTGATGATAGTGGTGATGAATGATAACAGTTATGATGACGATATGATACAACAAACACTATTAAAAAAAACGATATCAAAATTAAAAAAATAAAAATCACGATGACAAGTGACAATCTTGAGATGTTTGAAGACAGAATCTCATTATGTATATGTGCTCGTTTCCCTCTCGCGCCAAAAATATAAAATGAAAAAAAAAAAAAATAAACAATAATCAAACCAAAAAAAAAAAAAAATGAAAAAAAAAACAAAAAGTAAAAACAAAAATAAAGATATAAATAAAAATACAAACAAGAAAACACCAAACATGGAAAAGGAGGGAAAAAACGAACAGCTGATACGCTTAAAAATGTCTGCGGTGTAGCAGAATAAACCAGAGAATTTGTTCCGAGTTTAAATAGGAGTCCATTACAGGCTTAACGATCACATCAGTGGGCCTTAACGATCGCCGGAGACCTAGTTTGCAATTGGACCTTAACGACCGTAACGTGTCAGAGGAAACTGCTTTTTGGCGCCAAAGTGTGAATGAACGAGGGGCTGGAGGGGGAGGGAGGGTGGTGGGGGTGGGTGGTGTGTGTGTGTGTGTGTGTGTGTGTGTGTGTGTGTGTTGTGTGTGTGTGTGTGTGTGTGTGTGTGTGTGTGTGTGTGTGTGTGTGTGTGGAGGAAGAGAGAGAGAGAGAGAGAGAGAGAGAGAGAGAGAGAGAGAGAGAGAGAAGAGAGAGAGAGAGAGAGAGAGAGAGAGAGAGAGAGAGAGAGAAGAAAAGACTCAAATATGTCCTTCCCCTTTGCAAATGTCATCAACTACTTTTTCATTCATTCATCGTCAATGCCACCTTATCATTGCTATCATTATGTTCATTATATATTCATTACTAATATTGTTATTCACTATACCTACGTATCATGTCACACAATACTCACACATACATTTCTTGGAATAAAACAAACTCCTTATAACTTGTAAATAAATAAACAAATAAATAAATAAATGAAAACGAATGATAAAAAATAAAACAAATATATAAACAAAAACGAAGAAAGAATAAAATAAATAAAAAATAACAATAAATCTAATGAAGGTAATGCAAATTTAAACAATGGATTAACCTTAATCATAAACTATGCTTCCGTTTCCTGATGCCCATAAAAATTAGTACAAAAATAGTGGAAATGTCCTTTGTACCTATCTATTTACATCCGTACAACAATTTTATACATACAACCCTCTATTTTTTTTATCTATCTACCAATTTGATCGTCATTTTACCTGTTCCCATCTATTTACTTCTCTCTATTTATCTATATTTACTTCTCTCTATTTATCTATATCTATTTACTTCTCTCTATTTTCTGTATCTATTTGTCTATATCGATTTCTGTATTCACCCATCTCTATCATTTTACTCATTTCTATCCATCTGTCTATCTACTCACCCATCGCTCTATCTCTCTCCATCTCGACCTCTCAACCTACATACAAATCACTTTACCCGAAGAATGACGACACCCGTGGAGTCAGCGCCATCTAGAAAACGTGCGCACAACTAGCTCCCTTGCACAAACCTGTCCAACTCAACTATGGCGCATCTAGTAAACGTCTCTTCTGTCACATCACAAACCTGTCCATCTCAGCGCCATCTAGTAACGTTGCAGCGCCA